TTTTTTTTTTTAAAATTCGGGTAATTTAATGAATTATCATCAATATCAAATTTTGATGTATATAACCAATTGAAATATTTTCTATGCTATCAATTGCAGGGTTATTTATTTTGTCAAAAAATTCAAATTAATTTAAACTTCTTAGATTGATTGGATGTAAAAAAAATATCAATTTATCAAATAATCAATAATTTTAACTCGATTTATTACTTAATCACTCAAATTTTATTTCATCTTATTTGTATGCTTTTACATCATTGACCACTCAAAATAATTCATAATTTTACGATTTGTGCCAAGTCAAAATTTAAAGATTTGTGCAAAATAGAACAAATTTAAATAGTTAATGATGCAATGTGATAGTTGAGGGTAAATTAAAATCAAGATCACAATTTAATGATATAAAATTTAATTTAAAAATTTTGAGGGACATATAAGATGAAATAAAACATAAAATTTTAAGGGTATGATATATCATTTTTAAAACTTGAGGGGGGCCATGGCCCTCCTATGCCATTACTTAGCTATGTGCAGCTCCTCTGCTGTTCAAAGAAAACAGCACCGTATGCTGTTAGACAAGAACGGTGTCGTTTTATTAAGGTTCCCTTTGATAACTTTTTTGTTTATGTTTTTTGTTTTTGTTTTCAATTTTTGCCAAAAATAAAAAAATACTCTTGAGTTGTTTTTTCGTTTTTTCCTAACTAATTTGTTTTGAAAACAAGGCCAGATTTTACAAACAAAAATTTGGTTTTTTTTTTAAAGGNTTTTTCCTAACTAATTTGTTTTGAAAACAAGGCCAGATTTTACAAACAAAAATTTGGTTTTTTTTTTAAAGGGAAACAAGTGTGCGGGGTGGGTGTATATAGTTTCTGTTTGAGAGAGAGAAAGAAAGAGAAGTGAAATTGTGGGTTCATCTGGACAGGGTATGCGTAAGGTCGTTGGCCTTTAGCATTGAGGACTCCGTCCTCTACCCAAAATCGCCGAGTGACGCCTTGCTTTAGAAGATGCGTTCATGGCTTAGTGCTACTACATTAAGGGTTGAATTTGAAGGAATTGAAAGAAAATAGAGAAGAAAAGTCTTCTCCCAAAACTCCATCAGATGTCAATTTGGGTTTTGGAGAGAGGGCCTTCTCATTCTGGTTTAACTTTTTTTTTTTTTATAAATATTTTCAGTTTAATTTTTTATAAGTAAAGTTGTTATTTTGTTATTTAGAGATGAGTTTGAATTTCAAGTTAAGTTGCAATTGTATTTTAATTGATTGTTATGCATGTTGTTGCACAGAGATTACTTGTTTGAGGTTATGTGATTTGGGGTGGAATAATGTATTTTAATTGATTGTTATGCATGTTGTTGCACAGAGATTACTTGTTTGAGGTTATGTGATTTGGGGTGGAATAATGGAGATTGATTGTTATGTATTTTGTAGCACAAAATAGGGTTAATTGTAAGTTGCACTCCGAAAGATAGTTCGAATCTCAATTTATATCCCCAAAGATCAAAAATTTTAATTTATACCTTCAAAAATAGAAATTTGTATCAATGTGCTCCCCCAAAAATAAAAAATCTCAATTTGCACCCTCATAGATAGAAATTTGTATTAATGTGCATCCCCAAAGATAAAAAATCTTAATTTACACTCTAAAAAATAG